GGCAAGGTCTCAGTCTGTTGCTTAGGCTGGAGTGCAGTGGCATGATCCTGGCTCACTGCAAACTCCACCTCCCTGGTTCAAGTGATTCTCATGCCTCGGCCTCCTGAGTAGCTGGCATTACAGGCATTCACCACCATGCCAGCTAATTTTTGTATTTTTAGTAAAGATGGCATGCCAGCTAATTTTTGTATTTTTAGTAAAGACGGAGTTTTACCACTTTGGCCAGGCTGGTCTCAAACTCCTGACCTCAAGTGATCTGCCTGCCTCAACCTTTCAAAGCGTGCCGGGATTACAGGCATGAGCTACCATGCCTGGCCACAAAAATATTTTAAATAGAACATCAAAAGCATGATCCATAAAATCAGAAATAGATGAATTGGACTTCATCAAGATGAAAACTTCTGTTTTTCAAAAGACACTTATAAGAATGAAAAGCTGAGCCACAGACTGGGAGAAAATATTTATAAATCATATCTAATAAAAGATTTGTATGTAGAATATATAAATAACTCTCAAAACTCAATAGTAAGAAAATAACCTTTTTTTTTTTTTTTTGGAATGGGCAGATAATTTGAACTTTTTGCTTAGGAAGAGATACAGATGGCAATAAGCACATTAGTCATTAATGCAAATTAAAACCATAATGGGATGCCAGTATTAATAATACCTATTAGAATTACTGAAATTGAAGATTGACCCTACCAAGTGTTGGTGAGGATGTGGAAGAACTCGACGTCTCATATACTGTTGATGGGAATGTAAAATGGCAGAAGCACTTTGGAAAATAATCTGGAAGTTTCTGAAAAAGTTAAACATACACCTAGTACATGATCCACTCATTCCACTCCTAGATATTTATCTTAAGAAAAGAGAAAGAAATTAGCATAGACTTGTAAACATGTATTTAGTTTATAGCAGCCTTATCTGTGATAGCCAAAAGCTTGAAACAATCCAGATGTCCTTTAGCAGGTGAATGTGTAAACTGTGGTATGAACCACACAACAGAATACCATCCAGCCAAATAAAGACTGAACTATTAGTGTATATCACAAGTAGATGAATCTCTTTTGACTATGCCAAATGAAAGAAGCTATATTTACACACACACACACATTCACATACACTCCATGTGCTAAATTATTACATTCATACGAGATTCTAGAAGATTCATACTAAACTAGTGTATAGTTACAGAAAGGAGATTGGGGTTCCCTAGCAATGGGTGACATAAAAAGGGACTGGAAGAATGGATTTAAAAAGGGTACAAGGAAGCTTTTGAGCGTGCTGGGTGTGTTAATTATATTCATTGTGGTGATGGCTTCATGGCTATATATATATATATATATATATGTCAAAAGGTGTCTAATTTTACACTTAAGAGAGGACACAAACAGATGGAAAAACATTCCATGCTCATGGTTAGGAAGAGTCAATATTGTGAAAATGGCCATACTGCCCAAAGTAATTTATAAATTCAATACTATTCCCATCAAACTACCATTGACCTTCTTCACAGAACTGGAAAAACTCACCTTAAACATCATATGAAATCAAAAAACCCACATAGCTAAGACAATCCTAAGCAAAAAGAACAAAGCTGGAGGCATCACACTACCTGACTTTAAACTATACTACAAGGCTACAGTAATCAAAAACGCATGGTACTAGTACCAAAACAGAAATATAGACCAATGGAACAGAACAGAGGCCTCAGAGGCAATGCCACCGATCTATAACCATCTGATCTTTGACAAACCTGATAAAAATAAGCAATGGGGAAAGGAATCCCTGTTTAATAAATGGTGTTGGGAAAACTGGCTAGCCATGTGCAGAAAGCTGAAACTAGACCCCTTCCTTATAGCTTATAGAAAAATTAACTCCAGATGGATTAAAGATTTAAACATAAGACCTAACATCATAAAAACCCTAAAAGAAAACCTAGGCAAAACCATTCAGGACATACGCATAGGCAAGGACTTCATTACGAAAACACCAAAAGCATTGGCAACAAAAGCCAAAATAGACAAATGGGATCTAATTAAACTTAAGTGCTTCTACGCAGCAAAAGAAACAGTCATTAGAATGAACTGGCAACCAACAGAATGGGAAAAAATATTTGCAATCCACCCATCTGACAAAGGGCTAATATCCAGACTCTATAAAGCACTAAAACCAATATACAAGAAAAAAAAAAAAAGCAATCCCATCAAAATTGGGCAAAAGATATGAACAGACACTTTTCAAAAGAAGACATATATCAGGCCAAAAAACATATGAAAAAATGCTCATCATCACTGGTCGTTAGAGAAATGCAAATCAAAACCACATTGAGATACCACCTCATGCCAGTTAGAATGGCAATCATTAAAAAATCTGGAGACAACAGATGCTGGAGAGGATGTGGAGAAATAGGAACACTTTTACACTGTTTTTCGGAGTATAAATTAGTTCAACCACTGTGGAAAACAGTGGGGTGATTCCTCAAGGATCTAGAAATAGAAATACCATTTGACCCAGCGATCCCATTACTGAGTATATACCCAAAGGATTATAAATCTATCTGTTTTAAAGACACAGGCATGTATATGTTCATTGTGGCACCATTTACAATAGCAAAGATGTGGAACCAACCCAAATGCCCATCAAAGATAGACTGTATAGAGAAAATGTGGTACATATACACCATGGAATACTACACAGCCATTAAAAAGGATGAGTTTATGTCGTTTGCAGGGACATGGATGAATCTGGAAACCATCATTCTCAGCAAACTGACACAAGAACAGAAAACCAAACAATTCTTGTTCTCATAAATGGGTGTTGAACAATGAGAACACATGGACACAGGGAGGGGAACATCACACACTGGGGTCTGTTGGGGGATGGGTGGCTAGGGGAGGGATATCAGGGGGTGGGGAAGGATAATATTAGGAGAAATAACTAATGTAGTTGATGGGTGATGTATGCAGCAAACCACTACCATGGCACATGTATACCTATGTAACAATCCTGCAAGATCTTCACATGTAGCCTAGAACTTAAAGTAAAATTAAAAAAAAATTTTAAAGTACATTTTATTCTATATTAGTATTTCAGGGATCCCAGACCACCCCTTTTGGTGGTTTACTAGGACCCGTAGCACTCAGCATATAGTCATACTTAGGGCTAAGACTTATTACAGTGACATAGAAGGATACACAGGTGGATCAGTAAGGGAAAACATCAGGCAGGGTCTGGGGAATCCATGTGCAGGTTTTTGTGTTCCCTCCGTTCCTCTGAGATCACTCAGAGCCCACCTTCTCTCCAGTAGTGATAATGTAGTCAGAATTGTGCAATGATTATACCTAGGTAACCTCATTTAAGACTCAAGAGTTCGGGGTTTCATTGGTGGTTTGTCATATAGACGTTCCTTGCCCACCAAAATTTCGTATTCCCAAAAGGAAAGCAGTTGTTCAGCGTCCCAGACAGACAAAATAACCTTATAAGTGAGGAAATGTTTCAAAAGCCACATTCTTGGACACCAGCCAAGGGCCAGCCTTGCATGCAGACCTTTCTAAAGATAACAGTCTTAGGCTTGTTAACACTTTTCTGCACTCACTTGTACCTCAGCTTGTTAAAAAAAAAAAAGAAAAAATCATAAAAGTTAGTAAGAGCTAGCACAAGATAGTTGCAGTTCATTTATTGAAAAAATGATAGAGACTATAAAAAACAGTAACTTCAGATTTGAAGGAAACCAATGCAGTGAGACCCTCATTACCTGGAATGCTTCATACTCTTAAATCCTCTTTTTGGAACAAGGTAGGATAATAAGTAAAACCAGGAAGCTTGGCTAATGGGAGGTTCTAATTATTTTTAGTCTTTAATAGTATGACTTTCATTTCTATTGTATTTGAAAATGTTTCCCAAGTATATCATTTTTTCTTTCATAAAAAATTCCTTGGTTCATGATCATTATTTAACCACCACTTAACTGATCATGACTCAGTTCAGTTCTATAGCAAATAAACGGTAAAGCACTGCTGTTGAAATTATGATTACCTCAACAACAAGACCACTTCATTATAATTACCTCAACAAGACTACCCAGTTGTGCAGGTTATACCTTGTCCAAGGCACATCCAGCTGGGAGGGTGCGTGGAGCTTAGGTCCACCTCCAGCATGGAGTGTGTCTGCCCAAGAAAGGGGCACCTTTTTTCTAGTTTGTGCTAAGATGCCTTTTGGGCTGTTCAACACAAGCCCTGGAAAAAGGTGGTGGTAGCAATATTCTCCAACAGTACTGCCTAATATCAGCAAGCTTTTTGTGGGCATCTCTTTAGCCTTCAAGAAATCCAGCTAGTAACTTTCAGTTGAAGGTCATGTTTAACCAGGATTCTGCTATATGTAACAAGGACAAGCGATTCCAGTGGTCTCTAGTTTGGCCCAATTGCCCTTGAAAACAGGCAGATTTTTAGGATGTGTGTTTCTTTTTATCACTCTGGAAGAAGCCAGGTTCAGTTCTGTATCTGGATCCCATTATTAATGTCCCCAGCCAAGATTTCTGTGTATGTATAGCAATAGAAAAGTCAGAGAAAGGACAATCCTGTGGCTCCTCTGAGTGAAGTTTGTTCTTCCTACGTAATGAAGTTTCCTAAAGGGGAATTAAACTTTCTCACCTCGGAAGATAGAAGTATTGTTTAAAGCTTCAACTTTGAAACAAATAGAAAATATCTGATAGTTGCAACTCAGCTTCAAATAAGCTATGTCCGGATATTAATACCCATTTTATGAGTCCTGAACCTTGAGCCGCCAGCCCAATTTATGACCGAGTGGAAGTCATGGCACTGAGCAACCAGCCTGAAGGATGGGGGCTCCGGTCTATCAGCGGAAGCATTCTGTTTGGAAACCTTCAGCTTTTGAAATCTACGCCACTGTCAGCCCCGCTTCTTCTAAGTAGAGCACATTCATTTCCTCTGTCTTTTTCCTAAGGAAGCTTAAAACACGTATCTTTTCCCTTTTTATAGATGCGAACCACTCGCAAGGTCTCTGTCTGGCCTGTGGGCCTGGTTGGTGGGCGGCGCTACGAACGCCCGCTGGTGGAAAACGGCAAAGTCGTCGGCTGGTACACCGGCTGGAGAGCGGACAGGCCTTTTGCCATCGACATGGCAGGTGAGGAGTGTGGGTGGTCACATTTGTTCCTGCTGGACTGTTCTTATGATGCTCCTGTTTATAATGGTGTACTGAATGAAGAAAGCTTTAAAAGACAAAATTGGGTAAAATCCTAGATCATATCATATTCAGGAGATGAAATATTTAACTAAACCTTCACAACAGGCTCTTTGGTTAGATCAAGTGGAAACTGATTTCGAGGGCGATTAGAAAATGCTCATGCTGTTCCATTTTGTCACCTGTCTTTTTAGCCCACAAGCATCTATGTGGCAGCTACTGGGTTGGCCCTTGGGGATTCCGTGGTAAGAGCTAAACCTGGCTCCTGACTTCCAGGGATCTGTTTGCTGGAACCCTTTGGCTCCCTTCTCTAGAAGACCAATATATTAAAATATATCATGTTTATTGATAAATTTAATAATGATATAAAAATTGACAAGTCATATTAATGCTTATTGATACATTTAGTGCTTTATCGATATATTTAATATCTAAAATATAAACTTGGATTTCTGGTATTTCAAGCATTTATTAACTTTGAGTATAACTGTCTTAAAGTTTTTATTCCCTGAACAACCAGCTGAATTGAATTAGCCCTGAAGTAGACCACACGTTCTAAAATGCTACTTTATCATAAAGTGAATCATTTTCTGTGGGTTATAGAAAATGTTGCCTGTGATAACTGCGGAAGTATGGACTTTGAAACATGAGGCTCAGAGGCAAAAAAAAATAAAAATAAAAATTCAGTGACATCTATACTCTAAAAGATGAAGGCAGAAAGGCTCCAAAATTGATCTCATCAATCTTGGGCTCTGAAGCACAGCTCCATCAGGCTGCCAGCCTCTGCTTGCCCTATCTTCTGTGCATATTTCCCAACTGTAGTCAGGATCTCTGTGCTCAGAATTCTGATGGGATGGAGGCTCTATTCTGAACTAGATTCATCACTTTTATTCTGACAATACTATAAATCTGAGGGAGCCAGAATACGAAGAATATCAGGAGTCATCTGAGGGGCAAAGCACTCATGGATGTCTGTGTGTTGGGTCTTGTCACATTGCATCATGGGAGAAGACAAACAGGAAATTTTTACTCAACATTTAACACACATCTCCAGAGCACCAGGCCACTGCTCAGGGCCCTGCTGACCTCTCCATCCCTCCCTGTCTCCAGCTGTATGCTTTGGTCTTCAGTTCTGGCAGCTCCAGAGCTGAGCTGGCATCTCAGCCTAGGTCTATACCTGGAGACAGATGGAGGGGCAGCAGAGCCATCTTGGACAGTCCCGAGGACTCTCAAAAGAGGCCTGCCCTTGACCCACTCAAAGAGTCCATGACCCTGAAAACATAGGGAATAGCATATCTTTTAAAAATCAGGCTTCTTGCTGACTGAAGTGTACCTTTGAGCAGAAAATTTAGACCACATTAGGGAAAGTCCTTCCACTTCTGTGGGATGTAGTTTTCTTTTGAATAAAGTGAGGCAGTTGCAGGGTATGACCACGAGGGTCCTCCAGTACAGCTCTCCTTTCCTGGTGTCCCACCTTGGGACGCTCAAGTAAGAGCCCAGGCTGGCCTGCTAAGTGAGGATTGTGACTGCTCAAGCATCTGCAGACAGACTTTTGCTGCTGATCTTCCCCAGAGCCTTGTTTCAACACATGTCTCCTTACATGTGAGATGTCTGCATATTTCCTTGCGTGAATCATGCAAGGTTAGGGTAACTTGGGTAACTCTTCCTGGATTTTATTGTAGGAACTTTGTGTAGATAAACAGGTATCCAATAGACCTGTTGAATATTTGCATTGGTTCCCCCAGAATTTGCGTCACATTGATATTTCTAAAATTAAAGAGACATGTGTTTGTGCATTAGGGCTGACCTAGCTAGGACTGCCAAATTCTGTGGGAATTCTTTTTTTACATGACAGAACCAATGTTTGGATTTTTCTAAACATTTCAGTATATTTTCAAAGCATATTAAAAACATACCCATTGTAATAAAACATGAATGATTTCCTTGCTCTGTATTCATTATCCTTGTTTTAAAACAGGAATAAAGTGTCTGTCTCTAAGAAGACAACTTTTGTCACACTAAATAACTTTTTTCACTTCACACATGAACTTGCTTTGCATCTTAGCTTTCAGTAAATTATTGATATTTTTGAAAGTCTTTAAGTGTGAGTGATTTGGTTGATAGGATAATGATTCCGTTTTTGAGGCAGTTTGTTCTAAATCTAACTTGAAAATTGATGGCTTTGTTTAGATTCCACATACAATTCATTTATTCTCTGGGAAGAGGGAAAAGATCTTTTAGGCCTTCATATTCAGTTGGTGCTTGTCATCTCATTTCCAAGTTACATGTATGTACACACACACACACACACACACACACACACACCCCATCTCTAGAGGGGGAGGAGGGGGGCACATCCCTGCTGTGGCCAGGACAGTCTGAGGAGCTCTACTTTGAAAATGACTCTGTGATAGTCAAGTGAGAGGACCATATTGGAGTCTGGGTCTGTCTTGCATTTGCAAAGCGGATTAAGAGAAATGAAATTTCAAAAGCCCAAATGGAACATTTGTGGGTTTGAGCATATTTAGTAGAAACCCCCCAGAGCCTGTCCTATTTGTATTTCTTTGAGGTCATCACATAGCCCATCACTGAAAACTCATTTGAGTATCAGACATTGAAACTGTAATGTTTCATGTCATTCTAGTAGTTCTTAGACTATCATTTAATGCCATGTTGAACTTACTTGATGCTGAAATTTTGCTCTCAGATGACATGAAACATTGTTCTGAAATAATCTTGTGTTTACAACCATAATGGCAGGATTAAGATTGTTTCTGTTCCGTAGGAGGACATTTGTTTAAAACTGTGTAATGATTACTGCTTTAAAAAATTAATATGCCTGCCTACAAGATGGAAAGATAACACTGGTGGCATGCAGTTGGCTTCACAGCTGACCAGTGGTCACACAGCTCTGTCAAGACAGCGAGACCCTGGGAGGTTTCTATTGCGTACGTCGGAATTCAGTTCCTACACCTCAGGCATCTGAGGACTGGCTGAAAGTGAGGGAGTCCACACAAAGTTTTAGCTGTTTTGAAGGGAGGCAGTTAATTTCAAGTGACAGACTCACTTCAGTCACTTCCAGGAAGGTGTCAGTAAGAACCACTACTTGAAAGAACTGAGCTTAAAGCAATCTTCAGCCACACCAGGAGGTGTAGATTTGTTCAAGTTTAGAACTCAAAACAGATATTTTTTAGGAATTTTCAACATTGGCGTGTGCCTTATTCTTGACTGTAGGATGTGGCAGGTAGGACATGGTTCTAATGACAGTGTATGCAGTTCTCAGTTGAGTTGTTGGCACATAGTAGGTACTTTATTCTGCTAAAAACACAACTAGTGCAATTAGATTGTGACATCACCTGGAGTTGGTGCAGACCCCACAAGTTAGAGGGCATAGTCTCCAACAAGACTGCCCTTACTTCACATGCCCCCACATGCTGGGGAGCCCCAGGCCACCCGCACTTCTGACCAACTGACTGCATTGGGTGTTTCCCGCAATCTCATGATCCCCTCAGGTTTGCTAATTTGCTAGAATGACTCAAGAACTCAGAAGAGGGCTATACTTATACAAATTATCATGTAATTAGTGTTCTTTTTTCTTTTTTTTTTTTTTTTTTGAGACGGAGTTTCGCTGTTGCTACCCAGGCTAGAGTGCAATGCACGGTCTTGGCTCACTGTAACCTCCGCCTCCTGGGTTCACGCAATTCTCCTGCCTCAGCCTCCTGAGTAGCTGGGATTACAGGCACGCACCACCATGTCCAGCTAATTTTTTGTATTTTTAGTAGTGTTCTAAAGAATACAAATCAGGAGCAGCCAAATGAAGTGGCACACAGGCCAGCAGGTCCAGGTGGAAGGAGCAGGCTGGGAGCATGCCAGGCTTCTGTGCCTTTTCCTCATACAGGCAAAGTCTAAGAAGGTTTAGTTTTCTGTCCTAGAGTCCTGTGGGCCAGGGTGAGTCAGAGTCCTGTGGGCCAGGGTGAGTCAAAGCCCTGGGAATGGATGAGCTCCCACAGGGATAGTCCGTGGCAGCCTAGAATTGCATCCTCGGGGCAGGCATTTAAAGTGACTGCAGGGGAGTAACCAGGGAAGGAGAAAAGGCTCAGCTAGAGGGGGTTAGGGTAGGCGGTGGCGAGTTCATGGGAAAGAAGAGGTGGATGAACGATGCATTCCGTTGCTGGGTGTGGGAAGAGCAGGACCCTTGGTGAATACGGGAGAACAAGAGCCAGAGCAGAATGGTCCAAGCAAAGTTAGGTTTCTGGCCTCGTGCAGTGGCTTATGCCTGTAATCCCAGCACTTTGGGAGGCTGAGGTGGGCCAATCAACCTGAGGTCAGGAATGCAAGACCAGACTGTCTAACATGGTGAAATTCTTTCTCTACTAAAAATACAAAAATTAGCTGGGCATGGTGGTGAACACCTGTAATCCCAGTTACTCAGGAGGCTGAGGCAGGAGAATCACCTTAACCTGGGAGGTGGAGGTTGCAGTGAGCCAAGATTGTGTGACTGCACTCCAGCCTGGGCGACAGAGGGAGACTGTTTGAAAAAAAAAAAAAAAAAAAAGCTAGGTTTCTAATGGAGCAGAGAAGGAAAGATTTGATCTGGGAGAGGTTTGGGGAGGTTCTGTCTTGGCAGGACAGGGATTTGAGAGGATGTGGTGAAGGTGGGTGGCCACGAGGTGTGGGTTAGGAAGAGGAAGGGTGCAATGACTGCTGAGGTCCCCTCCAACTCGAGGGTTGTGTGATTTTGACGGGTTCTGATTCGAAGGACTGAGATGATGGAAGGTGGTGCACCTGGCATGCTTGTCTTCTTTTGGCAGCCAGCTCCGCCTCGCCTGTGGCCTATCACCGGCTCTCCGGTTGGTGGTAGTTTCTATTCAGTGGAGGTTTAAAAGGCCCTGACCTTTGTGGTGAGTGGGTAGAGAGGGGGCGTGGGGAGCATGACTAGGAGG